AACAGGGTTCACGGCAATTTATCTTTCTAGTCTTTGTAATTTTTCAACAACCTAAGCTAAATCCAACTAAGCCGTCTTCAGCTTTAGGAAGATGATCAGAAGAACTCCCTGAATAATAGACATTCTTCCTTTTTACCATCAGTCTACAAATAAAACCTTTGTAATCTGGAAGTCCTTACTAAAGAATGCATGATACCGAAAAAGCAAAATAGAGCCTCTCACTCTCTAAGGAAGAGTATTGCACTGAATAATACTGTGAATAATATGACGCAGGAATGTTCAACCTATGCAGAACACTCTACTGACATAAACATTTGCACATGAACAACAAGTTGCCAATTATAATTCTGTCCAAGTATGTTAGTAAACTTTAAAGGAGGTGCAATCTCTCAACTCAAACATTGACAGCTCTTCTTTTGGAAGTTGGTTGTTTGGAAATCTGATTGTATCTTCCCACAGGAATCCTAATAAAATATGGTTTATTTTCCCAGCTCAATCCCCAAAAGCCTATTGCTAATGCACTAAAAAAAATTCTTATTGTACAACAGAAACAGTATAAGTAATAATGTCTTAATGGAAAATCCACCATAAGTTGGGATTTGGGATTTTAGAAATGTACCTCTCACGACACTACCCAGTCAGAGGGGGTATGAATTTTCAGTGGAGTAGATAGTCCAGCTAAGGGTCATCCCTGAGTGACACAGTTATGACTCAGAGTGGGTCGGAAACTTGGACCTGAGGACTAGTTAAGGGAACTTGTTTGGAGAAATCTTGTTGAGGTAGCAAACTTTTTTCTTCCTGTTCCTCCCTTAACTAATTGTAAAAGGAGATGGGAAGAGAAGGTGAATAAAAAGTTTTGCAATGTTTATGCTCTTCCTTTTCCCCATAGCTTAGAAGACACAGGAGTAAGGGAGGAGCAGAATTAGCAAGGAAGGAATGCAGGCACATTAGTTGTATTGAAATATATATATAAACACAACTAATGTGCTTAATATATATGTTCAATACAACTAATGTGTGTAGTATATACGTGTAGTGTGTAATATATATAATAAAAATACATTATGGAGAATTTTAGCTCATACATCTTATCAAATAAAGGAAATTAAAGAAGTAGATATTTCAAGAAAAGAGATGGTTATCATTTTAAGTCACCAAAGATGAAGGAAAAAAAAAAAACATACCCCAATTTATTGTTTGAAAGCTTACTTATTTTTGAGAGAGACAGTGGGGAAGGGGCAGAGAGAGGGGGCAACAGAGGATCAGAAGCAGGCTCTGTGCTGACGGCAGAGAGCCCTATGCGGGCCTTGAACTCATGAACCATGAGATCATGACCTAAGCCAAAGTCAGACATTTAGATCTGACTGAGCCAGCCAGGCTCCCATATCCCAAATTATAAGTTCCTGTACACATTGTATATACTGTATGTAAATAAAATTATTTATAGTTAGTCAAAAAAACAGAACATGAACATTTCAAGAGAAATCCAACCAATTGAAGAAACCTTTCAACCATTTAAAAACCCATTTAAAAATTTCCTAGTTTAGGTTTTAAATGTACATTGCTTGTTTACTCACTGTATGTACATTATTATAAATAATGTACATAATAAATACAGATATGTATTTAACAGAGTTAGTGTATAGTTTATATAAGTTTACTCAAGGAAAAAGTGGATTCATGGTAAGATGGTAATGTAAGATATAATTGTATAAAATACTGTAACTCTGTTGCACATATTGATAATCCCATTTACTACATCATTTTTAAGTGTTCATATTTTTAGATAGGTAAAACTTGCTCTTGGACATAAAAGCCTATTTAATATCTACTTTTTGCAGAAGAAATTTCCCAAGAGTAGATTAGAGGCTGGGAAAGTAATACATTACAACAGGTAACAGGGAAAATAAAAATACAGATGGAAAGGAGCCAGTGTATAAAAATACATCCATAATTTATAAAAATCTCAGAGCAAATTTAATAATCATTAAGCACTAAATGAAAAACTTCATTAAGAGTTACTTAATTTAAAATCTAAACTTGGAAGTTTCTTTTGAAAATTGTTATGATAATGATGTAGAGTTAAGAGGTAAGTCAGACTTGTCCTTGGAGACATAGCAACAAAACTCTTTGCTTATTTCTTCTACCATGAAAAGACAATGTGAGCTATTTCCTGGCTTTACATTTCTCCTCATACCTATTCTTCCTAAATCCATGGCTTTCCTTTTGCTGTGTCAAGAGGGAGACATTTTGAACAAAATGATCATGTGATTTGAGTGTCCACTAAAGGCAAACCGATAGCCAAGATGAATGAAGAATAGAACAGGTCACCATTTAAAAATGCCAATTTTATCCTCCTTGAAAGTTTCCAAAATTTTCAAGTATAAGCAGTTAGACAGACTTTACTTTTTTAAGTGTCCTGACATATTTTCAAATCTTGGGGATACCTGATTGGCTCAGTCAGTTAAGGATCCGACTTGATTTAAGGTGTATATATATATATATACATATGTATATATAGGGTATATATATATATATCTAGGGTAAAGGTAATGATCTCAAGGTGGTGGGATCAAACCCCACATCAGGCTCCAGGCTCAGTGTGGAGTATGCTTAAGATTCTCTCTCTCTCCCTCTGCCCCACTACCCCACTCACACTAACTCTCCCTCTGTCAAAAAAAAAAAAAAAAAAAAAAGTCTTGGTTACAGTGATCCACAGTGTTCTCCCCATTCCTGGCTTCCTGCACTGGTTTATCATCTTTCGTCTGCTCATTAACTGTGGCTGCACACTCGAGATTTATTATGATTATCATCTTCTTCTGATAGCTATTTTCTTTAACATGTCATGAACTAATATGCTTTCAATGCTGTCTTTTTGTCCAATAATCCAAGTCCTCACACCCGTATCTGAATTTTCCTCTCTTTGTTTTGTCTATAGGACTCTCACACTTGTAGCAACTCTTTGTTGTACCAGATATTGGTGCCAACCCTCACCACTGTCTTCCTCCAAAGCAGTGCAAGGATATAGGACTCACGCATCTCTAAGGCTTCCTGCATTCCTCTAGCAGCTGGAGCGTCCTGACCTTCTGGGACAGGCCAGAAGGGCCAAGGAGTTAACACTCAGCCACGATTCTCAACAGTGAAGGAAGAGAAATTAGTGGAAAAATACATCAATTTCCTGGCCTTTCAGTGGGCAATTCTGAGGCAAGCTCTACAGTCTCCCACAGCTTCCTCAGTAATACATCTGTTTCTGGTCATCTTGCCTCTCCTGTGTCATTTCCCCTCTCCTTCACAATGCTTCCTGGGATTGTCTCCCAAATAAATTACTTATACCCAAATCCTTATCTAAAAGACTGCTTTAGGGTAGGTAGAGGTGATCCAGGCTAAGACAGAGGTCTTGTTAATACTTAAAATATGTTAAAGATTATAATAACCTCAAAACCAGCACTCCAACTTCTTTGATTCTCAGTTAGCTTACCTTTTAGTCTTCTCTTGAGAGCTGAGTGCTACAGGGATATGAGGCTTTTACAGACACACTTAACTTCTCTCTCCAGTTTTACGGTGTCACCCCAGGTAAGTCATGTATCTCTTCTGATTCTGTGTGAGTGTGTGTGTATGTATGTATATATGTATACACTACATATATGTATGTATATGTGTGTGTATAACACAAACACACACACACAAGTAAAACAGCACTATCCAGGGCTGTTGTAGCATTAAATAAAATAAACCATGATATATATACACACATGTAAAATAGTACTTTCCAGGGCTGTTCCAGCATTAAATAAAATAAAGCATGCAAAACACCTTTTACTTTGTCTTCATCCCATTATAATGTAGTAGTTTCAAATTTAGGAAATAAGCTACAACTTTCTTTCCTGGGGTGTTTTCCTGCCAATAATTGAGCTAACTTAGAAAATTAAGAATGGAAATCACAAATATTGAGATTATTCTCCGATATGAACATAAATTAACTACATGGCGAAGTTTTTTTATGAAGATATTACAGAATGGACCACTCTACTGAAGTACGTGGGGTTTGTTGTTTGCTTTGCTAGACATTCCTTAAACACAGAGCTCATAAAAACTATAAATAATACTCTCATGGTCTAATATGAGAACTAACCCACAATAAACAATTTGGATATTGACTAACAAAGATATCATGAAAACTGTTTATTTACAAAACAATCTAAGGCAGAAATAACATTTGACATATCAAAGGCAAAGAGTTGTAAGAGGAACTCAAGAAGTAGCTTTGTTACTTATGGGTATTATGGTGTTAAAGGTAAAACATTGGTAATGACCATTCCCTTCTCAATAGCTTCCTACAGACCCAGTCAGTATTAATATCGGGTTTGTTGTTTTTTACTGATTCTTTATTTCTGACAACTCCCTTCTTTTGTACTTTCATCTTCCTACACATTCCTCCCCTTCCTAAAATTTCCTCATTTTCTCCAATATGATTTATAGCTCAGAAGATTTTCTGTTGACTGCATGCACATTTAAATATAAATCATGTCTTCAGCAGTTGGTTTATATTGAAAATGTAGATCGAACTCAATATCTGTCTGTAATGAATCAAAAGTAGCTGGTATGATCATAGTCTAAATAATCAGAGTCTGTGTGGATTTACAGCAACATTATTAGTACATGATTAATCAGTACCTAATGCAAACCAGTTCATACCCAACATTTACTGAGTCATTTTATCTTACATTAAAGTCCTGTGGCACTGTTTCAGATCAGTTAAGAGTTTTGCTTTGTATGATAGTACATTGTTAAACTTGCCATCTGGTCCAACAGCTGACGTGGCTCACACAAGCCTGGAGAGGCCCCAGAGCTTTACTCCTGGGAAATATTTGGTCTACTGAGTGGTGTCATGATTACTGGTTCATAGCTTTTTTAATAGCCTTTGAAATGAATTGCAGAAAAATCTCCACACTGAGGAAATCCTAAATTGAAATTAATTTGTTAGGAAAGAATTCACTTACCTGAGGACCAGGTTGACCCTGAAATTGAAAAGAAAAAAAGAAAAAGGGAAAACAATTACAAAATTTTTTTTTAAAGTGACTGTTTTCACAACCCAAACTTAAACTAGTTCAGAAAATCTTTTCAAAATATTTTAATACCTAACCACTTACAAATTTTAGTTTGTAGTTTTAAAAAATCATATTGTATCTTAATATTTTTATTGTATGTTATTTATCTAAAATCTTGCTATTATGGTCTGTTATATGTTAATTCCAAAATGACTAAGGGCTTTAGTATGCTCTAGAATTGGAGAAAAGGAAGGTAAAAGATGAACTACATTATCATAATGAATGGGGTACTTAAAGAGAAGGCCTTCTAGCCCAGACTATTACTATGAGCTACATGTTCAAAGAGCACAGTGATAAGAAAAAAAGAGGCAGATATTTTTAGTTTTAGAATTCCCTAAATCTTTGGATTTCTCATTGTTTCAATAATACTTTAAGTCAATTTTAAAAATAAACACCAATCTTTTACTCTGTATAATCCAACCTAAGGGCATTATGAAAGAATATGAGGGGTCTTAGTCTCAGTTAAAGTACGTCATAACTCTTCACTCAGTCAACAGATCATGGAACCACTGGACAATCTGATTCAATTTGAATGTCACTTTCTTGTTGTTTAAGCTGATAAAAATTTCAAAGCAGCATGACTATAAAACCTTCTAAAATCAACTGTGAATAAAAGTATTGATTACACGTCACTTCTTATATTTTTATTAAAATTTTTTTTTCTTTTTCTGTGAGAGAGAGAGAGATACTGTGAGCAGAGGAGGGTCAGAGAGAGAGGGAGATATAGAATCTGAAGCAAGCTCCAGGCTCTGAGCTGTCAGCACAGAGCCCGACACAGGGCTCGAACCCACGAACTGTGAGATCGGACCTGAGCCGAAGTCGGACACTTAACCAACTGAGCCACCCAGGTGCCCTCTACATCACCTTCTTAAAATCTCTAATTGGGTTTCATGTAAGATGGGATGAAATAAAAAGTACACATAGAGTTAGGGAATCCTTAAAACTAAATTAATAATGTACAATCTCATTGTGCCAGTTCTATGCCGCTGGATATCAATACAGAAAAGCATGTTCCGAGAACATTCTCCCTTTCGCTCCCTCTTTCTCTCTTTCCCTCTCTTTCATCCCCTCTCCAGGCTTGGAATTTCTCTAGGTACTTGTTCGCTAACTGGGGATAAAACAGATGATTTTCAAGAGCTTTGTCTGAAGATGTGGTTAGCCAGGTTTTATCGAATCAAACCAGAGAAGGGAGCTAAACCAGTTACAGTGGATGTTACTCACCCACTCCTGCACCATAGTGGTGGAGAGGGAAAAAAGAATAACATTCATTTATTCCTTTCTGAGAACCAGGCACTTTCGGATATGTTATTCCATTTATTCCTTATAATTGTGCGGCATTTTACAAATGAAGAAACTGAGGGTCACAGAAATAAGTTAACAGTCACACAGCCTATAGGTGGAGAAGCCAGAATTTAAACTCAAATCTGATTCCAATGTTCATGCATTTTCCACCAGGTCATTCTGCCTTTCAGCAAGTTTAAACTTGCCATTGTATGCAGCTTTGCTCAGATCAACAATGGTATCAGAGCACTCTTCAAGTGTGCGGATGCTCTAAATCTCCCAACCACTCCTGGACTTCAAAGCACAGTGTGAATCTCTGCTTCTAGGTGCAGACTTAGGACTGGCAGGAACTCAGCCTGTTAACTGATACTTGTATCCAAACCAGGTCAGCCAAGTTTCAAGAGGGTAACAGACAACCCTAAAGGTGGGGAACCTACAAAGGCAGGGCTCTCAACCTACATGTAGATCTTCCTAGATCCATGTAATGGATGAAATTACAATACGTGCTCACTCTCACCTGCACTCGGTTTCTCTGGATGCTTTACTTTTCTGACCTTTCTGACATTTTCAACTAATGCAAACTCAGAAATGTGAACATGCACCTTTTAAAGAATTTCAGAATATATGTGTCTTCTACATTTTTTTTGGAAAACTAAAGGTAGGAATGTCTAAAATCAAAAATAATTTTTTCAAAAGAGTATCGCTTAGCATAACTGCAGAGATTGTTCTGCAGATGAGACTTTTCCTGTCTGCTTTTATTTTTTTTAATTTTTTTGTTTTATTTATTTTTGCAACAGAGAGACAGAGCATGAGTGGGGGAGGGGCAGAGAGAGAGGGAGACAGAGAACCTGAAACAGGCTCCAGGCTCTGAGCTGTCAGCACAGAGCCCAAAGCGGGGCTCAAACCCACGAACCATGAGATCATGACCTGAGCTGAAGTCGGACGCTTAACCAACTAAGCCACCCAGGCGCCCCTCCTGTCTATTTTTATTTTTTATTTATTCATTTTTTAAATTTTTATTTATTTATTTATTTTACAAATAGTTTATTGTCTGGTTTCCATATAACATCCAGTGCTCATCCCCACAAGTGCCCTCCTGTCTATTTTTAAAATGTGGCATTTCTGCCATTACACTGAACAAATGATTTTAATGCAACATATGCATACATTTATATGTTACTATATACAAATATTCATTGTGTTTTGGATTTTACATTAGTGGTAGTGAAAACAAACAATAAATGACAGTAAAATTAAACAGTTGGCTTTGGGGTGCCTGGGTGGCTCAATCAGTTAAGCATCTGACTTGATTTTAGCTCAGGTCATGATCTCACTGATTGTGGGATCAAGCCCCACATTGAGCTCTGCATTGTCAGCATGGAGCTTGCTTGGGATTCTCTCTCTCCTCATTTTTTGTCCTTCCTCATCACTCACACACTCTCTCTCTATTTCTCTCTCTTTTTCTCAAAAAGTAAACATTTTTTAAAAAGTTGACTTTTACATAAACATTAAAAATCATATAGTACCAGGAAACTCAGACACATATCTAATGTATGATAATGAATTTCAAATGTCTATGGTGTGCATGTGTGCATACATGTATGTGTGTGTGTAGGGTGGAGAGCATGAAAAAGAGGGATAGAAGTGAGTTGGTAGACAGGCTTTCCTGAAAATGATGCATATAACATGGTAAGTTTGATAACTCTCCCTAAAACATGGATTACACAATGCAAACCTTACAAATGTTACACAAGATTCCAGGACTGTCTACATCAAATCTTCTCAATCAGTGTGATGTGACAACTATTCCCTAGAAAACATCAAGAAAACTTGTCAGGAGACGGTCCAGTAGCTGGAGTCTTGTAGTCATTACAATAGAACTATCCAGAAAAATGAGAAAGTGATCAGAGGGCAAGTTTCCGTGGCCATGGCAGTGCCGGCTTCCTCCATGGGAGTGCACAACATAGAAAGACATTGGATAAGAGCTCAAAAGTGAAGAGCATCTCAGAAACTCCCTTATGATTGAGGACATTGGGCATAAAGACTTTACAGACAAATAGCCAAAAGAAACATCTCAGAATTTCTTTAAGTTGCTTCTGAATAGTTCATTGAGAAATCCAAGGATTTGCATTCATTCGTGGGTTTTTCTAGTCTATTCTAATTTATGGGTGGGGAACTTTATTAGTAATCAACTGTGAAAGTTTTTCTCAGTTTTCTAAAATATACTCTCAACGAATAGTTGTAATTGTGACTAAGACTCACAAAATACAACTTAGATTGAAATTTTAAAACTGTAATTCCTGAAAAGGACCTTTTTCCCGAGCAAATCACCAAACTGTTTCTAGAAATGAAAACTCAAATCTAGTATAATCAAGAGCCATTCCAAGGGTTAAATCACAGAAATACTAAAGTTTGAAAAATAGACGTAAAGGTGGAGAATGCTGGGTGCTGTGAATCACTGATTTACTGTATGTCAACAGCTCAATGCAATGCCCTCCAGGCGGCTCAGGCACCAGCGTGAAGGAAAAGAAACAGCCAGAGGAGTGACTTTAAAAAGTGGTAATCAGAACAGCATGGTGGAAAACAATCAGCCAGTAGCTGATGCTTGACAGAAAAGTGTTCAAAGCAAGTTGAAAGTTCTGTGAGTCAAGTAAACCACAATGGAGCATGATAAATGAGATGACATATCACTCGACTATGTATTGTTACTTTAGGCAATTAAAGAGCAATATTAACCATTCCTAGTTAGGCTGTTATCACAATTACAGCTGCCAAAAAGTGCTAACATCCTTCTCTAAATCGACAAAGTCATTTAGATTTCTCACTGAGGCAATTAGTTTCACTACATGATATTTTTTTATGGATAGTAAATCTGTGTCATTCCTTTTCAGACAGGAAAAATGCCATTTTCCCATTAACACATGCACAGATAAGCACACAAGTTTGTACTTTTAAAGTACAATCTTACTTTTGAAACACTAATTAGGATAACAGACCCACATATATCAGACTTACATACATCTTTACTGTGATACATTTTGCAATAAAAACTCTCTCATTTTGCAAAAACTTGAGGGAATATAGTATGGTTTTTGCAACTTTAAAAGGTGCTACATCTGCTTCAAGGTAATTAGAGAGAAAATACTTTAATAACTTACAAGTTTATCCTTAAACCTCTCAAGCTTGCTGCCACGTTTAGTACCCTCAGATTCAGATTCATTTCATTCTCTTGAATTGCCAGAAAATACTTCAAAATAATAATTTCTACGAGTTGCATTTTGGAACCCTTACTGTCTAAAAAAAGATGATTGGAAGATGATTATTATGATTTCATGATCTCTTGAAAAGTCTCAAATCCACACATTCAGATGTCAAGTTTATTTTTCTTTTCAGGGGAAAATAGTGTCTGAAGTAGGCATCCAGGTAAAGCATTAGTGACATCATAGGAACTCTGAGTAGCAACAGGATTGTCCTGATGGCAGGATGTTTTAAGGACCAATAGATCCTAGCATAAAGCCATCTCAATGGGATTCCTTAACCCAATTGCAGTTTGATCTACGGTCTGTGCCACTAAGTGGAACAGATACGTTCTACGCCTGCAGTACCAGGAACAGGTATCTTACTCGTCC